GCGTTTGCGCTTTGAGGGTGAAATGCCCAGCCCACCCTCCCCCCACCAGGCCCAAGCTCCCATGTTGTCCCAGGCTAGTGGGTTCAGTGGTGTGAGGGGACTTGGGGGGGGGGGGCTCTCAGCACTAGGGGGAATATTCTCTTCCTGTCAAGTGCCTGGGGAGAGACTTTCCCCGATGGCGACCTAGCAGGGACTCCTGGCGTTGCTGAGGGCAGATGTCCCAGCAGTGGGGAAGGGAGATGGCAGCTGTTCTCTGAACGTGAACCCAAGTGTCTGAAATTCCCCAAATACCCGCGGCTCCAGTGGTGACTCCCCTGCAGAGCAGGAGGCCACTCCAGCCTGGGACAGGCCCACTGACTGTCTCTCCTTTCTCCCCCTGTGCAGGGTGCTGGACGCACTGAGAGCAGGTACGTCCTGGGCTCCATGGCACCGTTCGTGTGGAAAGCGATGGTTTAGAATTGGAATTCTCCTGACTGCGGCGCTTCCCCCGCTGTGACCCGCTGGCTGAGTGCCTGAGATCACGTCTTTCCTTAGTGGCTGCCTCAGGAAGGAGAAGAGCCTCTTGCTATCTGACAGCTAATGGGGGCTGGCAAACATAGGGCTTGTGGGCCGGACCCAGCCTGGCTGATGTGTTTACGTGGCTGCATCACGTGTTCACAGTGTGCAGAATCTCAGCTTAGGTTTCTGGCTTTCGCGGTTGCAAAGAAACCTTCCAAAATGCAAAGGGAGGTGATGGTGCCTTCCTGAGGGCCTGTCTACAGCGTTTCAGTGGAGACGCTCCCTATGGTGACGGGAGGGGTCGTCCCATTGGCGTAGGTGATCCACCTCCCCACAGGCAGGAACTAGGTCGATGGAAGACCCTCGTTCGACCTAGCACTGTCTGCCGGGGCACTATCTGCGCTGCTCAGAGGTGTGGATTTTTCACACCCCTGAGCAATGTAGTTAAGACAACCTAATATTTTAGTGCAGCCCAGGCCTGAGTCTGTGAAACAGCCTGAAACCCGGCTCAGAGATGTGTGAACTCCCCTGGGAATCTCATTGGTGTGTAGCTGAAATGATGTCACTTGAAATGTCCACTGCTGAGCTCTGTAGCAGGTGGGATGGGGAGGGGACAGGAGTGAAGCCCTTGAGTGGAAGGAATAGGGAGTTGCTCTAGGGAGGGAAGAACAGAGGAGAGACACACAGACACTGGATGAGAGAGAGGGGGCAGGGGGAAGGCAGGGAAACAGGGTAGAAATAGAGAAGTGGCTGTTTTCCCAGGGAGTGAAAAAGTTGTGACAATGAAGTACTTTATAAATAACAGTACTTAAAAGCTTTCTATATAAAGGGCAGATACACCCCCCCCC